CTTAGCAAAGATATTTGATGTTTTAGTAAACACTGTATTTTAATTAAAATTTAAGAGCTCAGAAACAATCAAGTCCCTACTAACACAAGGGATTCTGAGAGATGTGTCTGAAAAAGAACACTTTTAGTGCCTATATCTGTGACTTTTCAATACCCATTTTAAAACAAAAAATCAAGAAGAGAGCTTGCTTATATACCTCTAAAAATATCTACATGGACCAAACCTGCAAGCACTTATGTAGATGAGTAACTTAACTGCCTGTGGAGCTCCAATGTGAGTTTGCAGGATGAAGCCTAAATGCATCTTTGGTAAACAAGCCATCAATTACACACTTTAGGGATGGCAGCACCTGTGCAAAGCCTTCAACTGAAACGACAGACACTAAAGAAATAAAAAGCAATTATCAGCTACTAATTTGAGTAAAACTGTTTTCTTCTTAGAGCTAAAAACACAATTTTCAGTGGCACTGGTTCTATTTTTGGCAACTAACAACCTTTATTAGATTATTGTACAGCAGACATTTAAGCCCTCTCAACAATAAAAGGTTCACAAATTTTAATATTTCACTATTTTTCACACTCCTTTGTTGATTATAAAGATTTCCTTGTACATATTTTTAGAGAAAACAAAGGCACTGCTGTGTGGGACAAACAAAACAAAACCAAACAAATTAAAACTAAAGCCACCTTCACAGCAATTTTACATTACTCCCAAGCGTTTTTCATTTTTTACTAGACAAGTTATCTTCCAACAAGAGTTTGAATATGAAACTCATAGGAGCTATAGGGGAGACATGCTACTCGGTTCTAGGATAAATGGTTGGTTTGCATTGCCCCTGGTCTTTATCTAACACTGAGAATAGGCTGCTTTTTATCAAAAGAGGAATAAATTGCTGTTATTGTGATGTTAGCCCATCACTTGGCATTGCAATTCAAGTTTTTGTGAGAAAGAAATGTATGATCTAACTGCGACTTGACCTATGCCTTCCGAGATCCATCTAGGTGCTCTAATGGAGCATAAAAAGTATTGAATACAAGGACATGCAAACCGGTAGTGAAGAAATTTGTTTGAGAAGAAGAGTGAAGAGAAGGGGACTTTCATGAGCTCATGGTTTACATGCTGCCCAGTTTGTTAAATATGGAAGAATGTTTATTGCCGAACTGCAGTTCTTTTAATTAATGTATTTCAGCACGATCCTCTACACTTCCTTGCATTTAGTACCTCCCTCTCTCAGTCATGGTCTCTGCCTCACTCTGTCTTTTCATCATTTAAAAGTGTTGTGGTTTAAAAGACTGTACAGGATTCTTTAACGATACAGGTTGTTTTTCTGGGCAGTCATTAAAATGGTCTATTAAACTATTAAGAAAACAATAAATTGCTCCTGTTTGTTTGTAGGATTTTTGTACAAGAAAAGTCATGTTAAATTTTTATCAAATACTTGGGCCACAATATAGCACAATATTAACTAATTCAAGGGACACAGATTGATTACACTACAAAATCCTTTGGTAGCTATGGTGTTTCTCGGAATTGATCAGAAAAGGATGTATTTTTTTTAAAGTGATTTCTAGAATAGTAGCATTTAGATTTTAGTCCTGATAAAGGCTCACTTTCCATTCATAGTCAGAACCTAAATGTGCTCTTCTTGTACCTAAACAGATAATAAGCACTCAGCACACTCCCCCTTCTTGACACAACACACTGAGACTAATCACACATAATTGGAGAGGAGGAGCAGAGGGGCTGGGCAGGCTATTGTGTCCAAAGGACAAATGGTCAGTTTATGAGGCTTTTGTCTGATGCATAATTTCTTATACATCTACAGGAGGAAAAGTCCTGCTGGAAAAAAACATATATACACACATATATAAAAAAAGCCTTTAGCACTGAAGCAAACAAGGACATTTCAATGATGGACAGAAAAATCAACAGTGGATTTTTTTTTTTTTTTTCAAAGGCAGAAAAAATCCAAGTATTCAATAGGTGCACTTTTAAAAAGATCTTAAGACAACTATTTCCTTACTAATTAAATGTGAATGCATTTACTACTTTACAACCAGTTATACAAGCCCACAAAGTCTGTTATTCACATATTTTCAAATACACCCCAAAAATAACATTTAAAGAGATTAACAAAGTACATGCAAGTTTAAAGGCACAAAAGAGAAGGAAGCCAGCTTTGCACCTTTGTTAATGCATACATGTGAAGTATGACCAGTTTTAGGCTGGAATATAATTGGAAAAATAAGTTCTAAAATGATACCAAAATGATGTCTCAATGTTTACACACTGTGAAACAATCCACAGTATCTTCCTCAGCGTTTAGATTGGAAATATTTCTCTAAGGATGATTCAGGAACAAAAGCGGGGGAATTGAACCCTCCCCACTCACTGACCATCCACATACATATATTAATTTTCAGTAGTCCACCTTAAAACAAAAAAAAAAGTGTCATCTTCTATCTGTGTTTGGTTAAAACGAGAAGAAAAGGGTAATGGAGGTTTTCCTCATATG